GAATGGCTTCCATGTCTGGATTCCTTCCTTCCTTCTTTCCTTCCTCCCTTCCTTCCTTCCATTCTTTTCTTCCTTCCTTCCTTCCTTTCTTTTCTTTCTTTCTTTCTTTCTTTCTTTCTTTCTTTCTTTCTTTCTTTCTTTCTTTCTTTTTCTCTTTCTTTCTTTCTTCTTTCTTTCTTTTTTGTTGAAAAGACTATCCTTTCTTTTTGCCATTAAATTGCATTTGTTTCTTTATCAAAGATCAGTTAACTGCACTTGTATGTTTGCTTTTGTTTTGTTTTGTTTTGGGGCATTCTCTTCTATTCCAATAATCTATGTGTTTAGTCTTCAAAAATTTCATGCTGTCTTGATTACTGTAGCTTTATAGTAAATTGTGAATCAGGCATCCTGAGTCCTCCAACTTTTCCTTTTATTTCAATATTGTGGTGGCTATTATGGGTCTTTTGGCTTTCCATGTTAACCTTAGAAACAGTTTATTAATATTCATAAATAGCTTGCAAAGATTTTATTGGGACTGCATTGATTCTATAGATCTAGTTGGGAAGAATTGATATCTGAAAAATGAGTCTTCTAGTCCATGAACATGAAATATCTCTCTTTGTTTTGATCATCTTTGATTTCTTTCTCCAAAGTTTTGTAGTTTTCCATATATAAGTCCTTACTTATTTTGTTAGATTTATACCAAGTATTTCCTTTTTAGTGAGCTATTATAAATGATATTGTGATTTTCATTTCAAATTCTAATTTCTCAGAGCTGATGTATAGGAAAGCAATTGATTTTCGTGTATTTTTTGTCTCCTGTGACCTTGCTACAATTATTTATTTCCAGTAGGTTTTTGTTTATTCTTTGGGATTTTCAACATAGACAATGTCTTTTACTTCAGATTATTGCCTTTTTGCACTGGCTGAGACTCCAAGCGCAATGTAAGAGGAGTGATGAGAGGATTCTTGCCTTTTTCTTGATTTTAGAGGGAAAACATTCAGTTTCTCACAATCCCCTCGCTTTTTATTACATTATACCCTGATTTTCCAGTTTCTTTGTTTCTTTCATCCCAATTCTCCATCTGATCTCAGTTCTGTTCTTATAGTGGAATCAGAGATACTTTCATTTAAATCATGATTTAGATCTTGGTCAAGTTAATTTAACTCCTTTGTATTTTGGTTTTCTCATTCTAAATTAGGAAAATATTGCCTATCCCAAGTGCTGTTATGATGATTACTTGGGAAAAAACTTGCAAAAAAAATTTTTTTTTCACTTAATGCATAATACCTAACTTTGATATAGGCCCTACGCTAAATTCTTGGGATTCGACTGTGAACAAGACTCAGCTCTCAGAAAAATTAGTTGACAAGAAAAAGTCAAGGTCACAATGTATTTTAATAATCATATGTGCTATGAGACCTGTCAGTTCACATAGCTGATTTTCAGTACCTAAGTGTTGCCATCTTTATTATTATTCCGTTTTCAAGTTTATTCACTCTTCCTGAACTGTCAAAAAGAGCTAATAACATTCCCTATCTCTTTTCTTGTATATCTTCTTTGTTTCCACCCCACATACTCAGTACAAAAAATTTCCCATTTGATAACTCTCTAGTTTCTGCACTGTTCTTATTTCTTCCTTCTCTTTTCACCTACATATCTCAAACATTTCTATACTTGGGATATATCATAGCAACACTTTGTGTTTGGTAACATGTATATTTTGGTTATAGTCACATATAGTTCATACGGTATACATGGAGTTTTTCAAATATAATATTCCAGAGGGCAGGGGTGACAATAATTAGATTTTTACATAAAGCAAATTAAACATTTAAAGCAAGTTTTTTTGGTCATAACATTTATGCTGATTAGGTGTACAACACATCTTTTTTTAAAGATTTTATTTATTTTACAGAGAGAGAGTGAGAGAGCGCAAACAGGGGGAGAGGCAGAGAGAGAGGGAGAAGCAGGCTCCCCACTGAGCAGGGAGCTTGACCTGGGGCTTGTTTCCAGGACCCTGAGATCATGACCTGAGCTGAAGGCAGTTGCTTAACCAACTGAGCCACTCAGGTGCCCCTACAGCATGTTTTTATAAGTCCAGTATTATTTTTGGGATCCATCCTTTACATTTTATAAGGATTATGACGATTAAAGAGAGGCTTTTTATACATGTAAGTATATGGGGGCACCTGTCTTGATTTTGTATTTTAAAAAATAAAATAACCAATAATACATTGGTTTCCTGCAGGACAGTGCTTTGTTACTTAGGCAATGTCTTTATGACACCCAAGAGGTAACTAAATACAACTTCAGATCAGCTTTCAGATATTCTCTGATTTATGAGGTGAACAGCTGAAACAATTCATTACATTGCCTTTAAAAAAATTATTTGGGGGGGTGCAGGATGGAAGAACCAAATGAGGAAAGGTGGAAAGGGGATAGAGGGTGTAGCTAACACAAGCATACAGACAGTGGAAAGAATATCAGCAAGGTGCCATACTGGGAACAGTTGTTTGCCATTCTATACTTCTGGCTACCTGCAGTGACAAATTTAATATTTTGGTTTTAAAACAAGAACTAATTTGTCTTGATTGTTTCTCTTTACTTTCTTAAAAGCAAACTAATGAAGCAATAGCATGTAGAGGTGCTGGCTGGGGTTTGCATGTGCGTATGTGTGCCTGTGTATTTAAAATACATTAAAATAAGTGCTGCCTTTGAGATTTTCAGCAATTACTGCTGACTCTCTAGTCTCTCCAATCTCCTCTCTGCATCAGCAACTTTGTGTTTGATTTGGAACATATTCTAAATATTCTCCACCAAAGATTGGAAAGCAGTCTTGTAGAGAAGGAGTAAAGGCATTTCATGGACATTTGATCACCCTGGCATTCTTGCTGTCCCTTCAAAGAAAAGCAGTGTTTCAGCATACACTTGGCTGGAAAATAAATTCTATTAACTAGGTAAATAAATGTCTATTAGACATTTAATTGTCCTATCCCTGAGATGAGTCTTCCAGTATTTGAGTTACTGTGTGATGTAACTATTGGAATACAAAGTGGACAAATATTAATCAGATTTAAGTGACTATTAAGTAAGAATTTCTGTCTAGAATAACAGATTGTGTGTGAGAGAGAGAGAGAGAGAGAGGAGAGAGAGAGAGAATATTCATTAAGTTTCTACTATATGCCAGGGTCCTTCACAAATATCAATCCTCAAAACAAAGCTGTTACTATGTATTATTTATTACCATTTTACAGATTTGGAAAAAGAGATTCACAGGGCTTAAGTAATTTTCCAATCATATTAAGTTGTGGATATTTGAGCCATTGATTCTTTGATTTCAATTCCATTATTTGCAATGTACAGCTTTAATTAATCCTTTAGTGAGAAATAAATAAAGATTAATTAGTTTAACAGATTGTTCTTATCCTGTCCAACAAAAGAACATTTCCAATAAGCATTTAATTTATTTTAAATTAGATTTTCTGTGTGTATAATGCATGTGCCTACTTTCCTTTTTGCTTTTGTACATGAAGATATGCTTATATACGTATATTTTGCAATATAAGTTTTAAAGTACTGCATCTTCCCACACTTGTGCCTCCACCAATGGGGAGAAATATAATAGTTGGCTTACAATAAAACAAGTAGAGTTTATGGTATTATTTAACATGAATAATGTGTTTTATATTTCATGTAGCTTTGCATAAATTGTAATGCACCTATAAACTTACTTTGTGTAAGTAATTTTAATGTTGGCTTGAAAACATAATTAGATGACATGTTATAAGAGTAAAATCTATAGTTTTAAAACAGGTCAAATTACTTAGGACATGATAAAAAGTAAGAAAATTTAGATAATTAAGTGCTACTCATTTGCACTAATAGTTTTTTTTCCTTAATATGCACCAATCTCCAACCATAAAACTTTACTTTTTAATTCAAAATAAATAATAGTTAATATACCTCAATTTCTGGTATAGTGATCGTGTTCTTTAAGCATTTTTTTCTTTTATTTATGAAATCTAAAACCTTGGCTAAATGAAGGTATGTTGTAACTGCCAAAATTATGAGGTTTTATGCTATCTTAAAATATTTAGGAAGAGCCATCAGAAGCACATGTTTTCCAGATTTTCTCTTTGTTCTTTTTAAATAATATAATCCGCTCCACATAGCCCCTCTAAAACCAGGAAGTAAAGGAAAGAATCTATAAGAAAGAGAACAGTATTTAGGAATAGGTAATGTAGTCAAATAAGTTGGGCATTTGTGGGGACCAACCTCATCCCAAGTACAGCAGGAGAAGGGGGAGGGGGTCTCAAACCATTATGGATGGGGGAGGTTCAAAAACATGAGAAAGTTATAAGTAAGTGGAGAAAATTATAAATAAAAGCTTTCAAACTTTCGACATGCTTCTCCTCTGCCTTGAAAATTGATAATTCCATTGTCATTATTAGTTAGTTGTAAAGTCCATTCTTTTTTCAAATAAGCAATCATTTTAAACCTGGTTTATTCACAGTTTCAATCCTAGACACACACATGAATCATTAATGTGCTGGGACATGGCAGCCTCCCAGCTCAGCTCTCAAATTTCTGCAAGCAAGATGACTTGGTACTGATAGAGATAAGACCTTGGTTGAAAAAAATATTTACCATTGACATAGAGTTATTTTTATGTAATCTGAACTTGTCATTTCTTAGACAACAAGAATATATAGTCTGAAAATGAGAAAATGAGAAGATAAAAATTAAAATTCCAAAATATGTCCAAAGAATCATTGAATGGAACCTAATTTTTGGGAATTTAGAAGTTTAATAACAGTACAGTCCTTTTTATCTAGACAAATAAATTTACCTTTGATTTGAAAATTACAAAATACTCCATTTGTTGCAAGAATTAGAGCCTGTATGGTGTCACAAAATATTTCTTTTTTAAGGAACAAAAACAGAATCCAGAGAAGGAAAATAGTGTGTAAGTATAGTATTAAGAAATGCTAACCTCTTTTAAAATCCTGTCTTTCAGGAAAGAGCGGTGACCATTAGAAGACAAACTGTAGGAGGATTTGGATTAAGCATAAAGGTAGCCTGTCTTTTAAGTCTATCCTTAAAGGCCATGCCATAATGCCTGCATTTTTGTGTATTTTGATTTTTGCTGATTAATAATTAGACAAGAATGGTTATAGCAAACTGTTCAATACTTGGAATGAGATGTAAATTAGATAGGTTCTCACAAAACCTTGGTCAACTTTTGATTTAGAAATACTCTTAGAAAAAGTACTTGGGAATTTTACCTGGTATTGAATATAGGTCATTCACTTTCTCTATCTGGTGTCATCTAACATGTCAGATACGGTGTTGTAGTATGTATATCTTCCTCTCACCAGCCAGAGTAGGAGATACTGCCCCTTCAGTGAATGGAGCAAGAATAAGTTTTACACTATTAATAGTTAAGTATTAGTTGGGTTTTATTCATCTTTTTCTTTTGGTTAGTTTTCTTTTTTTTAAGAAACCAGTGAATTTTCATGTCACAATGTCAAGTATACAGGATAGACAGAATTTTAACATCTGATTTATTTTAAAAATGACCATACCTGTTCACTTCCATTTATTATTAAATTTTAAAGCCCTTTTTTCCCCATGTATATTGTTGACTAGTAAAGATGTACCACACCTGCAATTTGTCACCACTGAAACAAATAGAAAATTTAAAAGGATGAGAAATTACATAAATATTATAAAGTTTAACTCAATGTCTTTAAATGCCCTTTAGAAATCTACATCTCTGCATAGATAAATGAAATTTAACTTTATCTTAACAATTGGGTTGGGTATTTTGCCTATGTAGGGTGAAAATCATACATCTCAGGTATATATTTCATGGAATTTTATATATGCTTGGAAAGTGGAACTCTAAATTTGGTGACTATCAGTTATAGTTGACATTATGATAATGACTTAGGAAAAGGTACCATTGTGGAATAGCATTGTGTTGTCAAGTGATAAGAATATTACTACATAAAATGTTAGTTTTAAAGTATGTATTTAATTTTCCTTTATCTATCATCAGCTAAAACCAGGAAGGTTTGCAGAACAAGTTATAGGATGTGGAAATGATTTTATTTTTTTGCTGTGATATTTATGGAATTGCTTGAATGATTTAAAGATACCACTACAGATAGTAAAAAGTCCATGAGAGAGAACAAAAGCTAAGTGTGAATAAAATCCATTAGTGAGAGATAAGCATTTTCATTTGAGATAAGCATTTTCACCTATCAGGTCTGACTCTATTTCTGTCTTTTTTTTTTAAGATTTATTTGTTTATTTGAGAGAGTGAGAGAGAGCGAGAGAGAGAGAGAGAGTGTGTGTGTGTATGTGTGTGTTTGAGCAAGGGGTAGGGGCACAAGAGAAGCAGATTTGGGGCGCCCAATATGGGGCTCGTCCTACTACCCATAAGGAGATCATAACCTGAGCCAAAGCCAAAAGTCTAATGCTTAACCGACTAAGCCACACAGCCACTCCAACTCTATTTGTGATGGTGGAGCTACCTTAGTTTTATGCAGGCTGGAAATGTTCTTTTCTATTTTTTTCTATTTCCATTTATAATTTAAAGCCAATAATACAATGTAATTTATTTTTATTAAAATGGCACAATTTTAACCTAGACAATTTTTAAAACATCAAGAATTTTGCCAAATGAATTATATCCATTTAATATTTTCATTATTCCAATCTAAACAAAACTCTTACACCTAAATAAGTAATCTTGTAAATCAAATGAGTGTATAGTTTCCATTCATAATATTGACCACAAAAGCAGTATTTGAATTGTGATCTGTGCCATATATTAGAATTCTAACAGAAAATGGAAATTATTTTACAATTCTTATGACAAACTAACCATAGATACTAAAATTAATATTTTTATTTAGAATATTACCCAGTCATTCTGAAAAGTTTCCTTTTAGGGTTTTCCAATTTGCTTTTCTTAATATTTACCCCTGACACTTGCTTTTTTTTATTTTTAAACTATCTTTCAGGGCACCTGGGTGGCTCAGTTGGTTAGGTGTCTTCCTTTGGCTCAGGACATGATCCCAGTGTCCTGGGATCAAGCCCCGCTCCCTGCCCAGTGGGGAGTCTGTTTCTCCTTCTCCCTGCTCTTGTGCTCTTGCTTGTTCACTCTCTCTCTGTCTCTCTCTCCCTTTCAAATAAACAAAATCTTAAAAAAAGACAATCTTTCATTCTGTTAATGTGTGGGCATATATATATATATATGTGTATATATATATCTATCTCATGTTATATATATACTCTATATACAGAATGAACAGTTTAACAAATCATTTTAACCTAAATGCAGAATTACTATTTTAATGTTGACCATTTACTTATTTTCTTATGTATTTATTTGTTTGTGTACCTATTGCTGGAGTAATCTGAGCCGATAATATAATTATTCACATAAATATATAAACATATATCTTATCCTTATTTGCTCCAGTTAGGTAATCACTTCTGGCATGCACACACTGGAGATTTTGCAGTGAGAATTATTGACTTAGAACCTGGAATATCTCAACTGGAGATAACAGAAGGAAGAGTGCATGTCAGACAATTAAAATGGCATTAACCAATATAGTGAAGACTCCTACAGGTGTTCCTGAATTTTATTGTACTAAGAACATATGGTGATGTTATTTCAATTTTACCTTCTAAAAAATTATTTGCAAAAACCTGACTAAAGGGCAACAAAATGTCTCTTTTTTGGTCAGAAAACACTAAAACACTCCAACACGTGTTGTCACAAGTCAAAGCCAATTGGCCATGCTCTGTGCTCCTGACAAATCTTGGCTCATGGGCCTTTCCTACCTCTGTCACCATTGTGCATGGTGGCAACTCCTCATTTTTCCCACATGGTGGTCAGTGCTACAAAAGCTGGTGGGCAACATCACAGAGAGGCACTAATGCTTTGTCTATTAATGTGCCCTAGTGGCTATAGACTGTGGGCAGTATGATGTCCCTGAAGCTACCAATGTCCTTTAAGCCTTGATGTTACCTGTCCATCTACAATGTTCTTGTTCCCCAATACTCTCCAGGCAGAGAACCCTTGTTTTTGTTTGTCACTCAATCAAATGTCAAGTTCTTCTTATTTACATTTTCAAACTTCCAAAAGATCATTCTCCAAAAACTGAAAGAAAAGATGCCAAAACTTTCCACTTATAATCACATAATCTCTGTTCTCAGACTGAAACTGCTTTTTGTAAAAAGTTCCGAAATTGCAGAAGTAAAAACAACGAATCATTGAAGTAGTGATTAATAAAAGTTTATGTGCACCCACCAAAAAGACAGTTTGCAGAGCAAGAGCACTCAAACCAAAACATGGAATGAGACTCAGGGTATATTATTATAAAGCAACTTATATAGTGGGAAGGCAGTGATTGTTTATTCTTCACAGGGATTGGTTATAATATTAAAATTTTCTTAAATGATAGGGAACTGCTTAGTGGTTACCTCATACGAACCTTGGGAAATAGTTCAAGTTTTACTTATGATTTCTAGAGGCATAAACAAGAAATGACTTGGGTCAAGCTAGCCTTGCAAAATAAGCTAACTGAAACTTTGTATGACTAGAGTGGTTTTGTCTGCTAAGAGAATTTTCAAGGTTGGTCTTCATTTGTTTTTGATATTCATACTTTGAAGCTCACAGATTTATCAGGCTGTCTCGTGTATATTCTCATTGTTCCTACAGGACATTGTGATTTGGGCCCTTGTCTAGTTTTCCAGAGTTCCTAAATTCCTATGGCCTTTCCGTCCTTTATTCCCAGCTCTTCAGTTCCTGCCTGCCTTTCCCTCATATCAAGCCTGCCTTCTGGCCTTCTGGTAGAATCTTTCTTTCAAGTGCTCATCCCTGGGTGCCTGGGTGGCTCAGTTGGTTAAGTGACTGCCTTCGGCTCAGGTCATGATCCTGGAGTCCTGGGATCGAGTCCCACATCGGGCTCCCTGCTCGGCAGGGAGTCTGCTTCTCCCTCTGACCCTCCCCCCCCATGTGCTTTCTCTCTCTCTCATTCTCTCTCTCTCAAAAAAAAAAACAAAAAAAACTCTCAAGTGCTCATCCCCTTTGTCTGGACTAACCTGAAACAACCATTTCCAAAAATAACTTAATGGTCTCCCACACCTACATCCCCAATAATCACCAAAGCTTTGCAACTTAGGACCCAATATTCTTGTATTTTTGTTTCATTCTTATGAGAATCACCATATGGATAATCACCTTAAAGCAAAACACTATCTCCTATTGATCTTCCATCTCTTTGAAAATAGAATACCGTATATTTGCATATTATTCAATCATACCTCTGGCCATTGTCAGTTAACAAATCACTTTTTAGAGAAAGGGTGTTTTGTTTATTATTACTAGAAAAGGTTCTATGGAGTTATTTTCCAACAGACAAGGCTATGTTATCTATGTCCATTAAAATGCTTGCAGTCAAAGGATTTTTATATGAAAGCTTTAACCTTGCAACAATCAAGAATGAAATTATAATTATTATTAAAATCTTACCATTTATAAACAATAATTGCAAGTATTTATTAACTGTTCTTTAAAGTGCCAGATGCTGAGCTAAGTACTTTATATTCAGGTTCATTTGGCCTTTAGTATCCAGCAAAGAAGGTAACTATTGTTATCCCTCTATAGACAATGTGGTTAAGTATTAAGAGGTTAAGTAATTTACCCATTGTTGTACCTGGCAGAGCTGGGCCTAAACCTCACACAAAGCAGATGACATAGTCCTTACTGTTAACAACTATGTTCTGTCACTGTAGAAACCAGACTAAATTTTCTCTAAACTCTCTACTTGGGAACAGAAGTAATGTTTTCTCTCTAAATTATTTGCATTCTGGTTTATTCAAAATTAAACTAAATGGATCAATATGTCCATCATATTGATCAAGGAAACAATTTAATTTCAAGTACTTGGTATTAATTGTATCAAATTTACCAAATAAAAATATATGTCTTCATAGCAGCTATAATAAATTTCTGCCTTTTATGGGCACCTGCCTTCAGCTCAGGTCATGATCCCAGGGTCCTGGGATGGAGCCCTGCATCAGCCTCCCTGCTCAGCGGGAGTCTGCTTCTCTCTCTTCCTCTGCCTGCAGCTGCCCCTGCTTGTGCTCTCTCTGTCAAATAAATAAATAAAATTTAAAAAATAAATAAATTTCTTCCTTTTAATTTATTAGTGGGTGATATAAATACACCCACATTTACATACATTTTTCCTCATTCTGTTCTCTGTTCTTTTTACTTGAGCCTGATTCTTCTGTTTCCACCAGAGACAATATAGATACATACCTTTACACCATAGAAATAGGAGGATACCAGGCAGGTAATAAAGCTTAGGTTGAAGATTATGGATTAGTGCCCACGAATCAGTTAAAACCACTGATCAATTTTCATTTTAAAGACCATTTTTTAACTAAATAGTTTATTGAGGTATAGTTTGCATATCATACAACTTAACCACTTAAAGTATACAAGTTAGTGGTTTTAATTATATTCACAGATATGTGCATTGTAGAACATTTTTGTCTCCCCCATATCCTTGAGCTATCATCCCCTTCTCCTCTTGTCTCCCTATCTCAGCTCTAAGCAACTACTAGTATATCTTCAATCTCTATAGATTTCCTTACTTTGGACTTTCATATGAAGGCAATTATACAGCATGTGGGAAAGACCATTAATTTGTGCCAAATTCACACTAAGTGATATTAGGAGGTAGGCATGGCACTCAAATAGATAAGGATATTTTCCCATTTTCTTTCAGATCATATTCTTTTAGGTGCTTCTCCCATATTTGTTCATTAGGCTCTTGACCTTAATTAATTGTGTTGTTATTATCTGTTTACAACTATTTTCCTAGCTCTAAATTTGTATATAATGGTGGGGTCTATGTCTCTTTTTCTCCTCCTAGAGCCCAGAATATGATTGATTGATTAACTGGAATAATGAAAATATTGAATTAAAAATATTTATCTGGCAAGGTTTCCAATGCTCTAAGAACATTCTGGGTTTGATTTGGTGGAATTTCAGTTATACTGGCAAATTCTTTGTATAGAGTCCTCCTCAAAATGCTTTAGATAGGAATTAATATCCTGGGATGTGAGGGCGATCTGGCTGCGACATCTGTCACCCCATTGATCGCCAGGGTTGATTCGGCTGATCTGGCTGGCGAGGCGGGTGTCCCCTTCCTCCCTCACCGCTCCACGTGCATCCCTCCCGAAGCTGCGCGCTCGGTCGAAGAGGACGACCTTCCCCGATAGAGGAGGACCGTTCTTCGGTCAAGGGTATACGAGTGGCTGCGCTCCCCTGCTAGAACCTCCAAACAAGCTCTCAAGGAATTAATATCCTGTATCCTATAAAGCTAGTTGTAAACTTATTTATGCATTGAATGGTATATACTTTAATAATTTCTGGGATGCAATGTAGAATGTTGCCTCATTTTCCCTAGTTTTGATTTTACACTGGAACAACAGAGCTCAATTAATTCATTTATTCTCTAAACCTGGACCACAAGCCTGCACCCTGGTTGACCTAAGGGTAGGCTGAAGAGGAGAGCCAGTAAAGGAAAATCTGTCTTGACTTTATGCCCCTTATAATCCAGTGGGAAAATAGATATTGATCAAATTGTGATGTAAATAATGTAAGTAATAGCCTGGATCTGGGGTTACAGAAGTGAATTACTTCAAGTAAGGAGACACTGATGAATGGGATCCTTCAGGTGATAATTCTGAATTTGAGTTGGGGGTTTACCAGGTTAAGAGTGAAAGAAAAAAGCATCTAGGCAAAGGAGATAATATATAATGACGTCCTTTGGTGCTCAGAGTGATGAAGGTCCAGGATGAAGATGTAAGTAAGGCAGGCTGAGGCCATAAGACAAGGGGCAGCTGATGATTGAGGGTTTTATTCTAAGTGTAATAGGAAGCTTGCCCCCTGTTTTAAACAGGATGAGTTGCATTATTTAATTCCTGACTGGAAAACCTTACATTTCCCCAATTAGGTCCAGAGCTAAATCTTATTAACTTTAATAGAGCTGGACTGCTCTCACAATTCATCCAATAAATTAAGGTACTGTGATTTTAAGTTCCAATTTTAACTCCCGCGTTTTGTCTAAAAATTTGCTCTCTAATTAATTAATAAAGTAATTTTCTGCAATTAATTGAAGAATTCTTTCAGAACTCCTAATGTCTGCATAAAAAGAAAACTGTTGACAAAATAGGGGTTAGTTTTAGCTTGTCATTTAAACATAGTTCTAACTCCCTGGCATTGAGGGAGGAATGGGGTTACTGAGCTGACTCTCTGAAATTACAATTTCAAGTCTTTTCTCTAGATAGATCTCAGGGAGGGGTTTCCCACCATCTTACCATGGTACCTGGCATTATAAATCTGAGCATTAAGAAAATCTTTGGATTCAGTAATGCAAGGAGAGAAAACTGTGAAAAGCAAAAACAGCTGAAGAAAAACACTCTGATGACAGCCACACAGACAAGAGGGACATAAACAATTTCACTCTCTGCCCCAAAATATCTGAACCCTAAAATATCTGGATGAGTTTGTTTCTTCTTTTTATACCACCTAAAACTTCATTGGTGGATGATTCATCTCCCTTAACTAGTTTTTTCTTCTAAGTAATGGAGACGTATTCTTAAAATCCTTTCCAATTTCCAAGTATCTCTAGAAACTAACTGTAATCATGGGCATTTAATTTCATTGTATATAGCATAGGTCTATCTTAGGCTTGGAAAAGCTTTTGACTTTATTTATTCATTCATTCACTCATCAACAAACATTTCAAAGATAAAAAAGAAAGACATTATACCATGCACTGCGTTTACATCAATGTATGAAACAAATTACCAAAAAAAAATCAGTGCCCTCTTGGAACTTACATTCTAGTTATGGATGGGGGAAGAAGAATGAAAATGAATAATAAATATAAGAAATAAATAAAAATAATAGTAGGTTGGAAGCTGATAAGTATAATGGGAAAGAAAGAATAGAACAGAAAAAGGAGATTGGAAACTCGGAATCCTAACTAGTAAATATTAAGGGTCTTAGAGTGGATTAGTGCTAAGCTTATTTACCACCCTTAATGTCATGTAATTTTATTCATAAATCTTGATTGATAGACTAATTAGGATAATAGCTACCTTGTATTCAGTGTTTATTGTGTGCTAAATAAGCACTCATTTCAACTATACTATCAGTCACAAATCATATCTTTTGATCAAATGAGAATTCATCTTAAACAGAATTTGTGCTTGTTATGGGCAAAAGAATTAGGAACCACGTCGCTTAGGCCAGAGACTTCACAGAGCTAGTGAGGGTGGGTGGGTGAATATTTGGTCGGTAGGAAATACTGAGTAAAGGGAGTTAGCAGTGGATTTGAATTTCAGTCTGAGGAAGACAGTTTTCAATATTTTATTTATCATGCCTCTTCTTTAATATTCTAGAAGTAAAAAGGACTACTTGCCAAGAAAATGTTGACTACCACTACTTTTCTCAAAAACTATTGCCCATCTTATATTTAAATATATTGGCAATTCAGTGTTAAAAATTGATATTCCTGGGTGCCTGGGTGGCTCAGTTGGTTAAGCAACTGCCTTCAGCTCAGGTCATGATCCTGGAGTCCCAGGATCGAGTCCCATGTCGGGCTCCCTGCTCAGCGGGGAGTCTGCTTCTCCCTCTCATCCTCTTCCCTCTCGTGCTATCTCTCATTCTCTCTCTCTCAAATAAATAAATAAAATCTTTAAAAAAAATTGGTATTCATGGAAAAATATAGTTCTAAAATAACTTTTATTCTTAAATAAAAAAGGTTTAGGAAGTTTACATGTTCTGAAGATAGAGAAACCCAGTGGAATTTTAGATTGTCTTTTCAACTATCCTATGTTAAAAGTGCTATACTTCTTTTATAATTGACATTTTATTCTTTTTTATTATTAGTTGTTTAATAATTTTTTTATGATTTTATTTCTTTATTTGAGAGAGAGAGTGAGAGAGGGGGAGAAAGCAAGAGCATGAGGGGGGTGCCTGAGGCAGAGGGACAAGACTCCCTGCTGAGCAAGGAGACCCACACAGGATTCCATCCCAGGATCCTGGGATCATGACCTGAGCTGACGGCAGACACTTAACCAACTAACTGAGCCACCCAGGCGCCCACTTTATTCTTTAATGCATTTATTTGATTTTTCAACTGTGGGTTTCAAACTTCTCAACTCTGTATTACCAAAACAGAATTTTTATGCACTTATTTCAGGATTTATTTTGTTTCATTCCATATTAGTCTCACTTATTTTTTTATTATTTCATATCTCATTTGGTCAATTAGATGAAGAATTACTACAGTGTTCTTGTCAGTTTATTTTATTCTGTTAATTGTTTCATATGTGCTTTCACACAAGGAGGAATCTAATATTAATTAAAGAAATGCAGATGATCCCTTTCCCATCATGCATATGCACACTCTGACTTTTTGTATCATTTTGTGCAGGTAAAGATCTCTCTAGTCACTTAGCATCCTAAGGGGTCTGTGCTTGGTCACCAGCATAGAACAACCTAACTAGTGAATGGAAATACATAATATTTTGGTATTTGAACATTAAGTAAGAATTTCTACAGTGGACAGCATGCTACACATTGAAGAGAATGCCCACTTAAGGCATTTCCAATCTTTATTTGAAAAACAAAAGCTTTTGAAGTCAACTGTTATTAATTACTAGATGTCACAGTATATTCTAAATAGGTAGATAAGTGTTTTGGGAGCTGTATCTGCTGAGTAGAGAAATTCCACAAGTTTATTCATATGGTATCTGGTGTCCATTAACATATTATTTGTAGCATGTATAGTTTCCTAACTAAAGGCTGCATTTTTTTTGCAATTAAAAAGCACAATATATGATTTTCTTTTTGCAGGGGGGAGCAGAACATAATATTCCAGTTGTCATTTCAAAAATCTCCAAGGAGCAAAGAGGTAAAGTGTTTACAGAATTACATAGCAACTATTCCTTTGTAAGTCATCCTTACTGAAGAATAGGTCATATTAAAGAACCATAAATTCATATGTGATTGACTAGCTCCAGGCTCCCCATGACCAGAGAGTAAGTGGCCAAGTCTGATTCCTGACTCTATCACTTTATTACTCCGGGGGAGGGTTTCTGTCACAGGAAAGCAAGGATGAAAGATAAGAGAGCATGTGACTGTGTATAAATTAGGGACTACACAGCTTTTAAGTTGTTTCATTAAACAAACACAGAGACAAATTTAAAGATAATAAGTCCCATCAAATAAGGCAATTCATGATACACATATTTTTTCAGTTCTCATATGCAGTCATGAAATTTCATCTAGAAAACACCAAAGATGTAAAGCAACTGTTTCAATGACTGAAATCACTAAGATAATCTAATGTTCAAAAAGAAACTCAGAGTTGATCCCATAGCTCATGGATTGAATGTCTAGATAAAAATTTTTTCATAGATACCTTAATATTATAAGTACATGAGAAAATTTAGTCATCCATCCAGAAGAGTGACCAGTTTGGGGCAACTGTAAGGTCTGAAATGATAGGATTAAATGGAAATAGGTGTTCTGATGTTTGGGCAGAACCATACAATTGTTTTTGCATTCCTATTATTTGTGGATCTTTTAAGATGTTATCTGTATAAAACATTTAATGTTTTCCTTGTATCAATTTCGATTTTACTCAATTATAAAACTCTTTCATCTGTATGAAGAAAATAGTTGATGCATAATAATTGCCCTTCTTCCTTCACAGCGGAACTTTCAGGACTGCTCTTTATCGGAGATGCTATTCTACAGGTACACATTTTACCCTTATTTTCTACTTGTAACCAAAACATAAATTCAATTCACAGCACGCCAAGAGAAACCATAATTTTCTTTTCATTGCAGATAAATGGAATTAATGTGAGAAAATGCAGACATGAAGAAGTGGTGAGTTTTCTTTACTTTTTCTTAATATCATAATTTTCCCCATGTGCAAATAAGGATCTACTGCATTGCTAAGCACTGTTCAATTTATTCATTAGGTAGTTGTGACATTGGTCCAGTGTGCTAATCAGATTTTCAGATGATCTCTTAATTGGTGTGTGTGTGTGTTTCATATTAGACATAGGTCTGTGAGTACTATCCAGGATGAAATGTAATTCAAAGAAATACTTTGAGCATTGCTTGTTATGTGTTTTTTCAGTTTTTCTATTAATCCCAGCCAGCCAATGTCCATGAAGTATATCTCTAGGTGAAATACATCTCTAACTCTTTGCAAATGTTTAAAATCTTATAAGCAATAGAATTTATGTCTGTAAAATATTACACAGTAGCACAGTCAATTGGAAGAGCATATAAAGACTGTGTGTGTGTGTGTGTGTGTGTGAAAGACAGAGACAGAGAGACATTAACAGGAGAGACAGAGAAAGAGACAAAATTTAGAGGAGTTTAATCTCAAGGCATACTGAATTAGCACTAGGCAGAATGGTCATCAATTTGTGTGTGTGTGTTGTTGTGTCTTGTGGTATTTATTTATTTATTTATTTATTTATTTATTTATTTATTTATTTTTGGATGTTGGTCAATATGCAGATCTGAAGCCCCAGCCTCAGATATTCTAATTCAGTCAGTTTAGGTGGGCCCAGGAATTCAGATTTTAACAATCAGCCCAAGTGGTTCTATTGTAGGTGGCCTTTAAACCACACTTTGGGAGAAGCTCAAAGGTTGAAGGGCTTCTGTTGGGGACAGACATAAAACATGATTCAAAAAGAATAGGACAGTGTTAGGCATTTGGGAAACATTCATCATGGTTGATTAAATAAGATTCATAGAGCCTTCACTGAATTTCTGTAGCAGCTCACATGGGAAGGGATAGAGGAGAAATTATGTTCAAAAGTTTATGTTCAAGGGTTGTGTTTGAATGCATTGCTCCTCTGTTAAAAGCTGTTTAGAGAAAACTATTCTGATGGGTTTGTGTATTTCAAACCTCAACGAGGCACCTCAAGTGTTTTTGAGAAATCATAGTTCCACAAGCAGTGATGCACGGGAGGGTTCTCAGTTGTGCATGCTTGGAATGACTCACCCAGTTTGTATTCATCTCTTGTTTTGGTCTCCGAAATCTTACTGGGGCCACTGTATTGCCACTCTGTGGTGAACATCCTGTAAAATATGTGTTCCGACTCTTGAATTTACTACAAATATGTTCAGAAAAAGCAGTGTTTTTGAACGGGTTTGAGACAAATGAGAGAACAGCACAGAGCACTCTGTTCTGCCGATACAGATGCAAATGTTAAATATATCCATGTAAGCAAAGATATTTTAACTTCAGTCTCCTCTCAAAAATACAAATTGATTTTAAACTCATTATACAGGGAGCAAAACCAAGTGCATTCTCTTTTAAAACCACATGCTGTTAGATGGAGTCGTGTTTGCAATTTGCCCTTCTGAGGTGGGCAGCATGCTTATACGAGCGGTGCTGTAGCTTTGATTAGACAGATTAGTGCGGCATGAAAGATTGGAATGTGCTAATATTGCCACTTCCTAATGCTGTTCATTCTTTTTCAAAGGAAAGGAATTTAGGATTGTATTGCAAATTATGTGTGGCTCTTCACAGTACACGTATTTTTTTGAGAGGCTTAACCTTATCAGCTTTGAAATATAGGCACTAATATTCTTAAGTTCCACTCTTTCATTTTCCAGCAGTGATTAGATGCTTTTGTCCTCACTGCTAATTACCTAAGCAAATAGACCAACTTATACCTCAGTGGGGCTGAGATATTATTTAAATGTTTAAGAATGGACTTAAATAGGCAGAAAAAGGCACAAGTTCAGAGGATGTAGATGGTTTTAAAATAGCATGCTGAATACCACATTTTGTATTCCAAATCAGTGATTCACATAGAGTTCCAAACTCAGAAACAAATTGAGTAGGTGCGACAGTATATTGTGAGTGCATATGACTTTCCTTTTATTCATCTACATTACTCATTGACATTGCTAAAAATTTTGTATTTGGTCCCTGATTAGCTTCAGCCTTAGGATGGCTTCAACAATATAGCTGTAACTTCTGTGTTGGTGTTACGAGGTTTAATCTATGTAGAAAAGGAATTCCACGGTATCTGCTGTGGACACCCAATAAGACTGTTAAAGAATTATTTAGCCAAATGCCTAGAATTAGATCACTGAAGCACTTGTGTCTGTTTGTTTCTCATGTTACTAACATGGACATAAAAAAAGTCAATTCTGGGCTGCACCCACACCATGCAAAGCATGAAGAAGATTGTTGAAGGAGAGAAGCTTTTGAAATTTCCTCATTAGGAAAGACTAGCACAAGTGCCAAGTGTTGCTTGGCATGTGACATGGTGGGAAGGTAGCAGGGTACCCAGTTTAGAGGGCTTCCACACTCACAAACAACTGTCCACAAGTCCTAGCTGGACCACATATTAACATTGTAATTTCAGGCAAATGGACTTGCTTGTTCTGTCCCTCTCTTATGCATCTGTAAAAACAAACTAATAATTACCTTTATAAAGATTGAATGGGAGTAATATATATGAAACTCCTTGCACAAATATGGCAATTAAGAAAAATTAGTAAAGTCCATTAAAATTGAAAAAAAAAAGAAAAAAAAAACACATCTTTCCAGGTTCTCTTTCCTGAGTGGATATATGCCAAAATCTTGGCATTTATAATGTCAGGTGTATAGAAAAATCATGTAAATTGAGAAGTGATATTGAGAGCTGTCATAATTACTCAGATTAATTTTTTTTTCTTTCGGGCACCCACAATTCCTATGGATTCAGTCTGTGTCCCGGGAGAGAGCTCATTAGGGAAAAAAAAAAAAAAACCTGAAGAAAAGTTTTGGAGAAAATGCCTTTAAAATATCAGAGTGCAAGGAACGATGTCTTGCTGCCTCTAGGAAAATGTCTCTCAGAACACTCACTACCACTATGTGGTGAAGGAAGTGGTACTTGGTAGAAGAAGCCACTTGTCCAGCAGAAGCAGTAATGCTTGTCAGCATCTGCCATAACTAAGAGAATTTAATAGAGGTGACTAGAGAAGAAGAGAGAAAGAGAGATGGAACACTGGACAAATGGAAAGACTACTTGGTAAACACATGGATACACAGAATTCTCAGGGGATAGATGATTTTTTATGGAGGTTGAGATTCTGCAATTTAATGGGGGTTAAAAAATAAATGAGACAAGGGTTATGCATTCATCTATCACTTTCAAAGTTAGTAGTTCTTCCCAAGAGGCTTCTAGAGTTCTATGTTTTGAAGTCGTTCTGAGACATCTCAAGATGCTACAAGCTACTACTGAAGTAATTGGGGCAATACGCATGATTCTCTGGATCAGAGATCTGGAGATCAGAAAGGGAAAAACACAAGATCTGGTTAAAGATCCAAATACCTGGGGTCACCTGGATAGGGAATGGATCTTTGGGTGATTTTAAGGCAGAAAGATATCCTATTATACATGTATTTACTTTTAAGAAGGTCTGGGAGCCCTAAAACAGCTGCTATGGAATTGTGCTGTAGAAACTATCATGCCTTTACTCAGTAGTTCCAATGTTGTGTATATAAACAACTAAAAAAACTTCCTTCGGTTCCTAGTTTGGGATATTGAAATAGCATGGAAAAAAGCACATTTGACCCTTTTGGGATTATTTATCAAAAAACAAATCTGCTTTGGTCTGAATGGTTGTGTCTCCCCAAATTTCATATGTAGAAATTCTGATGCCAGAATTGGTAGGTGATTAGGTCATGTTTGTGGAGCCCTCACGAATGGGATTAGTGACCTTATAAAAGAGGCCCTACAGAGCTATCTACCCACCTCCCTCATGTGAAATATAAGAAGTCTACACCCCTGGAAAGGGCCCTCGCCAGACCATGCTGGCACACTGATATTGATATTCCAGCCTCCAGATTGTAAGAAATAAGTTTCTTGTGTTTGGAAACTACCCAGTCTGTGGTATTTCATTATAGCTGCTGGAACAAGCAAAGACAGCTTCCTCCATGGTATATGTGCAATCTTAAGCAAATCAGTGCAGAGATACGGAGTTAAAGGAGATGTTTTTAATTAGTCCCCTTCCTGAAACTCTGTTTTATGGCAATAAACAGAGTCATGGGTAAATTTTTTGAAAATGGAAAGCAGATTTTCATGTCAGTGGAACTGTCCTAGGTCTCAGAAAGCTGAAGCAAAAGCAGATGTCTAGCAAACATTCACATCACAAAACCCAGATAGGAATCAGAGTGAACAGGGGTGTTCTAGCCAAAAATAGGAGTTGAATATTTGGCTCCAGACCCAGCAGAGGGCATAGGGGAGGTTCTGTACTACAATAAAGTGAGATAAATATTCTTTATTTTTATTATGTTATGTTAGTCACCATATATTACATCATTAGATTTTGATGTAGTGTTCCATGATTCATTGTTTGCGTATAACACCCAGTGCTCCATTCAATACATGCCCTCTTTAATAAACGTCACCAGGCTAACCCATCTCCCCACCCCTCTCCCCTCTAAAACCCCGTTTGTTTCTCAGAGTTCATAGTCTTTTATGGTTCATCTCCCCCTCCAATTCCACCCCCCTTCATTTTTTCCTTCCTACTATCTTCTTTTTTTTTTTTTTAAACATATAATGTATTATTTGTTTCAGAGGTACAGGTCTGTGGTTTATCAGTCTTACACAATTCACAGCGATCGCCATAGCTGATACCTGCCCCAATGTCTATCACCCAGGCACACCATCCCTCCCACCCCCCACCATTCCAGCAACCTTCAGTTTGTTTCCTGATTAAGAATTCCTCATATCAGTGAGAACATATAATACTTGTCTTTCTCTGATTGATTTATTTTGCTTAGCACAAAACCCTCTAGTTCCATCCACGTCATTGCAAATGGCAAGATTTTTTGATGGCTGCATAATATTCCATTGTATATATAT